ACTAATAATCCAATCAATGCCCACTAATAATTCAGTCAATGCTCACTAATAATCCAATCAATGCCCACCAATAATCCAATCAATGCCCACTAATAATGCATTCAATGCTCTCGAATACTCCAATCAATGCTCACTAATAATTCAATCGATGCTCACTAATAATCCAATCAATGCCCACTAATAATCCAATCAATGCTCACTAATAATCCAATCAATGCTCACTAATAATCCAATCAATGCCCACTAATAATTCAGTCAATGCTCTCGAATACTCCAATCAATGTCCACTGATAATCCAATCAATGCTCACTAATAATCCAATCAATGCTCACTAATGATCCACTCGAGCTTCGCACACGTGCGATGCCATCTGTACTTCCCTGGTATCTCAACACAGCTCTATTGCTGTGTGTATGGATCAGTTGTTGGCGGACCTTCGAAGTACTTTGTGCATCAAATCTATCTTTCTATAATAATGTGTTCGCTCTCGTTATATGTAAGCACACGGAATAGATATAAGCGAGTGCGGTCTGCTTAGGTGGCATAATTAACCCACAACCTCTTCATGTATTCTTACCTGAGCTGTATAAATATTTTTACCTACAATGTCACTGCTTGTTACTACCTACAATCTCATTGATCATAATTGCTTTTAATCCCCTTGACTATTCCTACCTACAATCGCTTTGCAGGCACATCCGTCGGCTGTGGTAGACCTCTCTACACAGTACAGAATGAATGCTGATGTCATGTTGCTGGTAAGTAGATGTCATGTGGCTGGTAAGTAGAATGCTGGTAAGTATATGTACTGTTGCTGGTAAATAGAATTCATGTTGCTGGCAAGTATATGTAATGTTGCTGGTAAGTAGAATTCATGCTGCTGGTAAGTAGATGTCATGTGGCTGGTAAGTAGAATTCATGTTGTTGGTAAGTATATGTAATGTTGCTGGTAAGTAGAATTCATGTTGCTGGCAAGTATATGTAATGTTGCTGGTAAGTAGATGTCATGTTGCTGGTAAGTAGAATTCATGTTGCTGGGAAGTATATGTAATGTTATTGGTAAGTAGACTCGTGTGTGGACAGGCCTGTGTGCTCTGCATGAGCTTGTCTGCACGCAGAAGAATACTTCGGCATACCCATTTCACTATGAACACATCCGCTGTCACTCGTGTATACGGGTATTTGTTGGTGGTTGCACTGAAGTCTTTTGTATCTGGAACTAAAGTCTACCTCTCCTGTGACGACCTACCATATATGAGTGCATCTGTGCGAAACTAAAAAGCATGCATGCATTCCTGTATCAACGTAACCGCAGACGCTGTGTTGATGTAGACTCACTTCTTCTGCATTTCCGCTGGGCACTATGTTACCATAGAAACAACCAACCTTATGAACTCGTATGTTGACACGCGTCAGAGGAAACTCATGTGGCATGTTTGTGCTGTTAGTCTCGTCGTTTGTATCATCCCATCTACCCACAGGGAAGGCATTAGTAGCCTACCCATAGGGAAAGCATTAGTAGCCTACCCACAGGGAAGGCATTAGTAGCCTACCCACAGGGAAGGCATTAGTAGCCTACCCACAAGGAAGGCATTAGTAGCCTACCCACAGGGAATGCATTAGTAGCCTACCCACAGGGAAGGCATTTGTAGCTTACCCACAGGGAAGGCATTAGTAGCGTACCCACAGGGAAAGCATTAGTAACCCACCAAGAGGGAAGGCATTAGTAG